AGGGACAAGCCCTCTGCAGCCTCTTGTTCTCTGTACATTGGCCAGTCAAGGGTTTCTGTGTTAATCATCATCTGTTGCCTAAGGAAACTTCTTGGGTGAGAGTTGTGAGATGCATTCATCTATGGATATAACAATAAATCACTAAGAGTCAGTTTATGACAGTTAAGTATTTAGTAGAAAACTAGTATTAAGCTTTCCCCTATGTCCTGTGACCTATTTAGCCTCAGGTTCCTAAACCTGATTTCAATGTTAGTTATGGGCTTCATCCTAGAAAGCCAACATTAAATCCAATTAAAGAGTGGTTGGTTACTCCCATAATATTTTGCCACTGTTGGACCAATGGGAATATCTTGCCAGGCCAGTTGTTACTGTAGTTGGCAGGAATCACAGCTGGGCAAGGTTGATACTTGTTTTCTTCTTCTGGTAGCAGGCATAGCACCTTCCATCACTGTGAACACCAGCCAGTAGAGGTGAGGCTCTGAAGTCAGAACCAGCTTGATTTCTCCTTGTTTGTTCTAAAGCTCATGTATGAGTATCTTCAGCAATAGGGTCTTAGCACTCAGTTCTGGCGGGGAGACAAGAGAAGGGGCAATGGCCAGTATTGTTTGAGGGTCTATGTGACCCCTGGTCAACAACTTCTAGAGAGGGAATCCATTCCTGGCATTGAGATTTTTTTTTTTCTCATTAGCCTATGATATCTAGAAAGGGCAATATTCCAACATTCCCATTATAGGCTAACTCCTTTTAATCTCATTTTATTTCACACACACACACACACACACACACACACAGAGAGAGAGAGAGAGAGAGAGAGAGAGAGAGAGAGAGAGAGATTACTCTCAGAAGCCTCTATAGTGGTATGTTTTCCTATGGCTTTTTCTAAAGGCCTTTAGTGTTATTTATCCCTCCCCAAATGGCCTCCTCTGCCCTCCCATTCCCCACCCCATTTAACCCTTCCTAGTCTAATGTTCCCCTTCCCCCCTTCATATCACTGCAGGCAATGCATTCTTACTGCTTATGGTCAGAGAGCACCTTCTCTTTTTAAGATGCATTTTCACCTTCAATTTAAAATTGGAGTCAGACTACCTGGGTCTGAATCATGGTTCCCTCAACTGCTTTATGACACTGAGCAATTTAAACTTTCTAAGTCATAATTTTCTTCTGTCATGGTTGTTATGAAACCAATCTCATCACCATATTATTAAGATTAAATGAGTTGATGTCCTTATAACATTTAGAATGCTGAGGAGCATAGCTGTGACAGCAACTAGTTATTAAGTGAATAAAATACAAAGGACAGCTGAATAAAAGAACTGGGGCTGTGGGCGTAGCTCAGGTGGTAGAGTGCCTGCCTAGTGTGTGTGAAGCTGTGCATTCCATCCCAGCACCACATCAAATTGGGATGTGATGTTGCATGCAGGCTCTCCTGTCATCGGGTGGCGGGGAGGTCAGAAGTTCAAGATTAACCTTGGTTGCATGAGACTGTGTTGAAAACTAACAAACAACACGAACAGTTCATGACAGAAAGATTATGAAGTAGATCAAAGCAATTGGTTAAAATACAACAATGAATGTGATTGATTATTTTTATATTGAAAAATTGCATGTTTCCAATGACAACATTCATTGCTCTCCACAAAAGTTGATGAAGTCTAGGAAAGGCCAGGAAACTAATTTTGAAAAAGCAAAACCTCTGAGAAATAAATAGTACAAATTTCACAATTGCTAAGGTTATTTTGTAAATAGATCATAATAATGACTAAATATTTTGTGGAAAAAAGATTTACTAAATTTTTTTTTCATAAACATGCACATGAACATGGCCAATGGTTTTAATGGGCTGGAGAAGGAGTCTTAAGCCTGGAATAGCCTTTAGCACTGGAGTCACTTTTCCCAGTGGCTTGCTGCCGCAGCACTAGACCCTTTAGAAAACAGAAACTTCTTAGAACCAACTGGAGGAACTCTTCTTTATTTGAGTTTTTGAGTTAGGAATGGTGGGGACACAGGGTGTGGTCTCAGATTCAAGCTGTTCACAGGGGTTTAGCAACCCTTTCATAAGCTGGGAGTTCTCACCTGAGTGAACTCTGTCACACATGCATCATCTATGAGCTTTCTCTCCCTCAGTGGATTTCCTCACGGCCGTTTTTATCCTAGCTGCCTTTAGAGCTTAAAGGTGACAGCTAACTTCACACAAAGCCTTCTTCCCTTCCGTGTGTTTACCCAAAATTTCCTCCCTTGTGTCTATTTTGTCTCTAGTTACTCCTGGCTAACTTTAAGAAAGAAAATTGGAAGTCCTTGCTAACCGAGAGATCCCAGATGATTTTCAGACTAAAATGCAATGTCAATAAGTGGTCTCTGCAAATATTGTTCTATAGGGTGATTCATTATGTCTTTAATGCCAAAGAAAATCTAACTGAAGTCAGATACAAAACAACCTCAATCCTGTGCTGGAAATAGAGAAAAATGCCTCACAGGGTGCAATATGAATTAGGCACATATTCATTTTGAGCTCCAGCTAAACCTAGAACAGCCTTTAACCTTGCTATTGGTTTCCATGTAAAGTAACTTGTACCACGTTTAATACATAAAGTGACTGCTTGACATCTACAAATTGTCTTTTCTGAAGAACAACTGCGACATATTAAGCCATGAATCCATCACCACACTTAAGAACAAAGTATGATTAGAACTTTGGCTTGTTCATATTACATTTAGTAAAATATTTAGATATTTTGACAACTTTTTCTAGTACATAGCCATTTGAGTTATTCATTTAATATTTAAGTGGTTTAATTATTAACATCTAGTCCTTGTGTATAAAACAAAGCATTTTTAATTACTCTCATGGCTTGCTTTGAGACTTTGATGCTTTGTGTCTTGGTATCAAAAATTCCTCTGGCTTTTCTTATGTTCTGATTTTCCAGATAGAGGTTAGCCATCTTTAAAGAAATGCTCAACATCAAATTGTTTAAATTTGTTATACTTAATCTTTACCTAAAATATCATTTTCATTAAATTATTTTCTTTTTTACACTGACAAATATAAATTCTAATATTTATAACATTTTAGTTTAGTTGATGTTATAAAACACAAAGGCATTTTCACTGGCATAAAGGTCAATTACGAAAATTCTATCTCCCCATTATAAATTGATATATTTTCAGTTATGTAGGTACGATGCAGTATGGTTATATTTTGTTTCTGATAGGTAAATATTACATATATCTTCAATGTACAGCATGAGTTTTGATTTGTGTCTGCACTGTAGAATTGCTGAGTCAAGGGTTTGATTACATGTATGACTTTATATGCTTTGTTGGTGTGTCAAAAACACTGAAAATCCATTCTTCGCCATTTTGAAATCTAGAACACACTGCTTGTTGTTAATAACAGTGACCCTTATATGCAATAGCTCTCTTGGATTTATTTCTCCTAACTCACAGTTTCCTTTGAACTTCTGTGGAACACTCCAACCCCACAGTACTTGGTAACCATCATGTTGCTGTATATGCCATGAGCTCAACTCTCTCGAACTGTACACGTGAGTGAGCACACCACACAGCGTTTCTCTCTGTGCCTGGCTTTTCTTGGTTAACATCCCCGAGGTTCATCCCTGTTATTGATGACAGATTTTCTTCTTTTTCTAATGTGTATGGTGTTACATAATACATTTTCCCTATCAATCCATTGAGGGACATGTAGGCTGATGAATCAAATTCCTGGTAAATCTTTATGGAGAATCACCAGGAAATGGAGAGAGAAAAGACAAAATCATAGCATATGAAAGAATAGAGGTAAAAACCATTTTGTATACAACAAGAGGAAAAAGTCCAATTGAACTACAACATGAGAAGTGGGTCTCAATGCAGCCTGTCGAAGTTGTCACAAATTGAAAAAATGGGCATTTAAAAATGTATGTATTCAAGGTGGGATTTCTCCTCTGTTACATCTCATGTTGTAGGTTTTGAGCCTGTCAAACACTGGACCCCTGAGGTTTATTTGCCCACAAATGGCACAAGTTGGCCTTTGTGGATTTTATCTGGAGTAAGATGAGTAAATTGCTACATCTCACATCTCATGAGTGGACTGGGATCATAGAGAACTCACTAGTGACTGTGACTTTGGATAAATGAACACTAGGGATGGTATTCTGAGGATAACAGAAAGACTTGTGTCTTGAAAGGAAATGTCTATAGCGGAATCGTTTGCAGTATTATAGCCATTTCAAAGTTAATTCCTGTACTTTATGGTAATAATTAGACTAGTAGTAACAATTGATAAATACTGTATATAATTAAAAGGTAGAAAGAATCAATCCATTCAACAAACCGTACAAAATTACCTCATAATTTCTGTGAAGTGTTCAGCGCAGCATTGAGCTGCCACTTTTTCAAATGTTTTATGTTCTATAACATTAACGAGTTCCTAAAAAGCTGAATCCTAATAGATTTAGAATGAGTTCATAGATGATAAAAGGACTATCAATAGTAATTGAAGTCTTTCTTTAGCATATCACTTGCTTAAATATGTTGAACATTGAATTTTCTCCACTGGTTTAACCCTGTTCACAACCCACAATGCAGCTGCATTGGTTCTTCCTACTTAAAAAATTTTTATTTATTTTCATTTAATGCCTTTGACTATATTGCCTGCATGTGTTTAAGTGCACCCATGTCATGCAATACCTGTGGAGGTCAGAAGAGGGTGTCAAATCCCCTGGAACTGGAGTTGTTAGTCACCATGTGGGTGTTGGGATTCGAACCCAAGTCCTGTGCTCTTAACTGCTGAGCCATTTCTCCAGCCCCAGTTCTTCCTACTTTTAATATCATTACCTTGCGATATATCGTTTCCATCAACACAGCACATTGATGAGGAATATTTAACATTACATTATTTGGTTCTAAATCTTATTTTAATTTAGAAGGGCATCATACGTAGTAAAGAGACTAGGATTTTATTATCAGTAAGCAGTGAAATAAATAGCCAAAACATCCAAGAGTGTTGCATGAGCTCAATATACATCCATTTATTAATGCATGTGCAGAGATCGCATCATACGAGGCATTTGGAAAAGTCATTAACAAAGCAGTTGTGTAAGAGTTTAACACGGATTGGCCAATCTCACCAGCCTGTGTTTTCAGGCACAGTAGCAGAACGGTAGAGAGACACAACATCTAATCACTTCTGCTCCTCATATACCAGAGTGGCATATTCACAGAGTTCAGTCAATGCAGCAGCCTCTTGTTTCTGCACAGGTGGGCATCCACTCAGGGTGTGGCTGTAAGTTACCATGACAAAGTCATGTTCTGCAGCCCACTGTTTAGGTACAGACTCCAGAAACTCAAATCATAAAAATCCCAAAACACAAATATTTGTAATCAAGTTGCATTTGGGGCATATAAAGAACATAAATTACAAAATTGTAAGCAATTTTTTCAGTTTATTTTACATTTTTTCCTCACTAAATATATGAAGATGTGACTTTTGGCTCCAAAGCAATATATAGTAATGCTGTATTCAGTATAAACCATTGAATATTTTTAAAAGAAACCTCTGATTGTAGAGTTAAGTAAGTAGCCATAAAGATATGGGTATTTTTCCTCTGACACGTACTTATCACAGGTAATTCAAATGGACCATCCTTGCATTCTGTTTCCAAACCATGGATTCTATGACTTTCCAAAGAATGTAATGTGGTAAAGCTGAGACATAATGCTACATGGTACTGTATCAGGTTACCTTTTTTCATTTTATTACAAATGTGATGGGACCGTGGCAGTTTTAAAGAACACAGTTTTGTCAATATATCAAACATTAACAAACTATTTAGCATTGCTTTGTGTAAGTTTGCTTTGACAGCGTTGCTTCACAGTGATATTTCAGAAGGTTGGGAACTGGTCAGCATAAAATATTTCCCACCTTTTCTATTATAGTTAGTATGCAAAAATCAATCACAATATATTTGCAACTATAAAATTACAAATGCGTTCTAGAAGTTGCTGCATTTCTAGTTATGGTAGAAAAGGGATATGCAGGATGTTTCCAATGAGGCAACGCTAAATAAAATAGCATCTGAGTCTCAAATGCTTTCCAGCAGGCCAGGAGACATTAATCTAACAAAGACAATTAATGGACAAACTCAAGAGTGATTTTTTTCAGCTTGTTTCTTGAATGAGAAACTGGGAATGACGTGAACGTTAGGAGTCTTGATATTTCACTTTACATCATAATTTTGGCACTTCATGGAACATTTATTTCCCAAAGACCAGAATTGGTATAAAAGTTCAGAAGTTTCCCACATACCTTGTAGACATTGTGGTTGATGACTGGCAAACATCAAAACGAGCTGAATTCAAACATTCCCATGTATTTGCACATGCATGCAAGGGTCAAACGATGGTGGTCCATGAATTCTCAGAGATGGAACCTTGCAGTATTTGCTTCAAGTACTCTCTAAAGCAGACCTGGTTTCAGATTTAAGTCTCACAAACTCTTTAGCGACATCGTCGCTGGTCCTCTGAGAGAGTATTCTAAGGATAGTCAGGCCAGTTTCATCCATAGAGATGTTTTTCAGAAGAGGATACCAGGCCCCATAGCTGCCTTTCTCTGCTATGCTGTGTAACTGAATGACTGTCATGCCAATAATTCGGTCTTCTCGGGCAAAGCAGTAATCTTTCACTGAGAGATGGAGTTCATAGGCCCCTGGGCGGTTTTCATTACCCAGAATGCTATATGAATTAAAAACACAAACGAACACAAATTTTACTGAAAGTGCTAAAATACTGAATACTGTCAAACTATACACATACCTTATTATATTGGCAATTATCTATCTATCTATCTATCTATCTATCTATCTATCTATCTATCTATCTATCATCTATCTATCCTATCTTTATCTTTATCTTTATCTCTCTCTATCTCTATATCATATATGTCTATATATATAGTATTGTTGTATTTAATTATCTAACCCTGGCCCTTTATATCTTAGATTGTTTCTTTATGGATGTTGTTGGGAAATGTAACTTAAATTCTTTTCCCTAGGTATAAAAACTATGCTTTATTGCAGGTGTATCCAATCTTTTGATGTCTACAAATTTGTTGCACTGCATTCATAGGTATCCTTGGATGCCTAGGGCCTGCAGGTTGGCTGTACCTGCTTATTTCTTTAATGGTAAGTACAGCCATGGGGATGGGGATTAAAATACATCATATTTGGCTACTAGAGTTTCCTCATTGGTAAGGGTTATGGAGCTGGGTGAAAGCACTGTAGGAAGAATTCCTGTGCTATTTCAGGATCAGCTGATTCTTCTTTACTTCTGACTTCTGGAACAATTATTCCACCCAGAAGCCTTTCCCCATGGGTACAGCCTAAGAAGCACTATTTATGCAGAGATATAAATCTCTTGGCCAAATCAGTTTCAGCAGAGGTTGGTGCTGCAGTGCCTGTTCCTTCCTTGTAACAGCAGAACGGGATACTATGAAGGTGAGTAGTGAGATGTGGGGAGTTGTCTTCCTCCACCCCTTGTTTCAACTTATCCAGATGTTCTTGATTTTCTAATAGATGTTCATCTACTTGTCATCACTGACAGCATTAGGAACATTATGAAAGACGATTATTTTTGTTTCTAGATGACGTTGGTAACTAAACCGTTTACTCAGAGATGACCTGAAAACATAGGCAACAACTGATGAGTGAAAACAGAAAAGCAAAGCAAGACAGGAGCCTTTCCTTGAGCATTAAGATGCAAACTTTCCCAAGAACAGTGGTCTTGGTATATCGTGACGTAATAGCAAAACCTTTGCCTATGTCATTTTCAGAACCCAGAGGTTAAAGACATTTTAACTGGATCAAAATCTTGTGTGATTTGTTTGAAGTGGCTGGGCACAGTCCTGTGAGCTGGTTTATTACCAGAATTACTGTGGCAATTAAGATTCTTGATACACATGGCAGAACAGTCCATTTTTTTTATGGCTGGTCAAAAGCTGATATTCAAAGCACAGAGCTTTTAAAGCTACGTGTGGGAAACTGTCTGGATGTACAGAAATCTCTAGGGTTCTCCCCTGAGTCTTCCTTTTTCCTTGATGCACCACTAGGTCAGTTCATTTAGATGTACGGAATTAACAAGACTGACAGGGAGAAATATCTCAAGGCTCATCCAATTGTCTATTTTGACATTCCTCTTAACATGTCAAGGAATCTCCCAATGAGTAGACTAAAGCAAAATTCTCGATGTCATTTTCCCTCCCCATCTTAGTCAATCATCGTCAACCTAACTGGTCAAGCCCCAAACCTGGATCAGGCCAGTTTTACTCAGGCATTTTCCTGACACACAGGAGATCTGTCCCACCCTTCATCTTGAAACAGGATGGCATCCTAGGGGCTACACTGCTGGCCACTCTCTTTCTGCTCTGGCTTTCAGTAGATTATGAACAAACAAGGTGACCATGGGTCAAAGTTCTCACTGTGCTGGTTTCTGGTGTGTGCAGCTGCCTTGACTGGGCTGTTTCCCTCCATGGAAGATCACTGCTCCTCTTGAAGCCACTATACATTTTTACTTCCTCAACTCTGGTGAACGTCTGTCCTGTAGGCCTAGGAATGAAGATATCTCCAAATCCCATCACTATTTCTTATAGATCCCCTATACCAGCATGTTCTGTTTGTTTGTTTGCCTTGCTTTTTCAGATGGTCTCCCTGTAACCCCAGCTGGTCTGGAACTCTCTATGGCCTCCATCTCATAGAGATCTGCCTGCCCCTGATTCTGGATGAATCAGGGTGAAAGGTGTGTGCCACCATGCCTGGCTAAAGACATATTTGTACAGTAAGCCTAGATTGTAGGACCTTGGGAATGTCACACAGTCTTGTGTTCTACCATCAGGTCTGGTAAATTTCTTCCAACACACATTTAGAACTGTTTCAGGACTCTTTTATCTCTTTCCTGGACTACTGCAATTGCAAGAAGTCTTCACATGTCTAGTCTTGCTTCCCTCTATTTCTCTTTACGACCAATACTATCATTTAAAGACACAAAGATGGCATTTAGCCTTTTGTTTGGGAACCTTGAGGAGCCTCCTGTGGAACTGATAGTTGTAAATTCACATGAGGTGAGAGCATCACCAAATTCACTTACTCTCACTTTCCCCACTGTTCTGTGTCTTAAACATGATAAATTCGATCTTGTGTTAGAATCCTTGCGCTTGACCTGAAAATCATAGGCTCAGCAAACCCTTCCTGACTCCCTAATTGAGCTGTCTATACAATCCTCTGTCTGGTACTCAGTCTGCATGCTGCTTATGTCCACCACACATTTTTCTCTTCCATCTCTAGAAAGACACTTCCATACACCCAAGGCCATCTGCTTCCTGTCTCCAGTTAACCTTGCTGTGCAGAGTTGCTGAGCTAAGGCAGCTTTCTTTGTTAGCAATGAACAAGAGGAAGAAATCTATGGGTTTTACTTTCCGCTCTGCATCTCCCAGTAAGTTTTAGCTGCAAAATAGCTAGTGCCAGCTGAATGAATTTCATTTTTGACTTACAACTGGAAGGTTTCGTTGTACTTTGGTGACCACGTGTTGCTTTTTGTCTTCGTGCCTTGCTTTCTCTTCTTGTCTCCAAGGTTGGGACCCAGCACGCAAACTTCCACAAAGGGGCGGAACATGGCTGTGGTCTGCCAGTTTAGGTCATTGATAGCAATCACTGAAATCCAAAAGCACATTTTAAAATATTTTACTTATTATTTTTATTTTATGTGTGTGAGTGTATTGCCTGAATATATGTAATTGCACCCATGTCCTGCAATGTTAGAAGAGGGCATTGGGTTCCTTGGAACTAGAGTTATGGGCGGTTCTTAGCTGCCATGTGGGTGCTGGGAATTGAACCCAGGTCCTCTGCAAGAGCAGTCAGTATTCTTATCCACTGAGCCATCTCTGCAGGCCCTCAAAACACATTTTTTAACAAATGAGTGTGTGGAAATAGATTCTTCTACTTGGTCCTTACATTGTATTAAAAAAAAATGATGTCCGAAGTCATAACTCTGATTTGAGAATGCCCTAACTATACTGACAAGAAAATATCTCAGAAGTAAAAACAATTTATCCTCTGGGATGCTGTCTTAATGGAACTCTCAACTCTCAGTTGTTGTTCAAATGACATTTACTACTAATGAGGAAAGGGAACATTCCTTTTTAGGTAAAATACTGATATTTTTCATATTAAACATTAAGATAGCTTAGCCATGAAATACTTAGAAAATATAGAGGAAACAGATTAAAATGCACTTCATAGAAGCAATTGGGCTATTATTTTAGTGTGCACACTTTCAGTATTTATGCACAAAATCCGATCACAGTGTGCTATAGTATAGTCTTAAAATTGACTTTAGGAAGGCCAATTAAAGCTTTTTTTAAAGCTTAAAATAAAGCTCCATTATGGTTATCTGGTTCATTATTTCCCAGTTGCAAATTCCATTGTATACTGTGGCTGTTTGCTAATTCCAGGGATTATAAGCAACTCTAAACAAGCATTCTTATATACCTCTGCTTGGTCTTCGATGATACTTACCGTTAGGAAACTGTCTTAAAATTGCTAGTGCCAAAGATTAAATTCTTGGATATGTTCAGAGATGCACTCATATTTACATAGTGTTAGTATTTAAAGGACATGGAAGGATAGCAACACTATATATGCGTGGGTACTTACCTTGGGTTTTCTACACTGATAAACTCCATATAATCCATTCTAAACTACAGCTACAGCACTTTAGGGAACTAAAGATACATTATATAGTATAATTCGGAGACTGTACTTTTGACAATATTAAATATTTAATATGAACATTATAGTGGCCTAGTCTACAATATTTGAAAATAGACTATGGATATGTTCAGCAAAATGTTAGCTCTTCCCTAAATTCTGCAAGCAAAGCTCATTTGTGTTTATAATGTGAAGCTTGTAATTTGAACCATTTATTAGCAAGAAAAAAAAATGAAACCAATAGTTAGAACTCACATAAAAGGAAGTGGATTATGTGAATCATAAGAAAATATTAGTCAGTTTGAGAAATTATATTCAAGCATAAAATAAAGCCAGTTTTGAATTTTAGTTCGCAATGTATTAAAATTTTTAGGTGTTAAACTCAACAGTTTTGTTTTCAGAAGACACTCTAAGCCCATCCTACAGTAGTTGATATCTTTCATATGATTGCTTATATATTAAAAACTAATAAGTTGCTATATTTGAAATGTACCTTTTACAGTGACTTTATGTTCTCCAGTGCCTGGGGTAGTGGTGATATCCACATGGACAGAGATCTGACCCACTGCATCTTTGGAGGAACTACCTGAAAGCAAGAAGAAATTTATTAGCTTGAACTTTCAGATTATAAACCTGTGGACCTCTGTTTTCTTTGCATGAGAATAAATGGTCATTTCTATTAATAGCTCATGTGAAACGTTGATAAATGCTCTCAGAGTGTGCTATGCAGGTTTGAGACTTGGGTAGAGTCACCCTTAGGCCAGAAGGCTCACATTCCATACAGCCAACAGAAGGTGTCTTATTACTATCCTTGCAAGAACAGTGGTAAGTTTCCTTCAGTTCCTCCTCTCCTCATTGACAAAGCTCCACTGATTGCTTTTCATTCTTTTGTTAAGAATCTTTCTGCCCTGGGGACAAAAGATGATTCTGCATGTAGAATACCTGCCTTCGTGAGGTGAGGCTCACAGTAGGACAGGAGAGACCAAAAGATGATAGATGTTATTGAGACTATGGGAATTTAATCACATGTACACTTACATCATCAGCAGAGTAGTCTCTTCCACCACAGGCTAAGTTACCTGAGGGTTCAGCAGCACTGAAGAGAGCTTGTAATTTAGGGGCATATGAATGAATTTAAATCATTGCTGTACTGTCACTGCTTCTGGGATCCTAGATAATTCACAATGTTCTTCAGCCCCAGTCTTTTTATTTGTAAAATAAAGACAATACCAACCTCTTAATATACACACACTTATTAATACATTATTTCTGAACACAGACTTTTTTCTACAAATTGAAGTATATACAATACTAATCTTACTATATCTTTTCACCTAAAATTATACACACACACACCACACACACGATGGTTATCCTAATTCAGTATACATAAAGCGGTCACGTTCTTTTCTGTGTCCTGGAACCTCACAGTGCTAACTGCAAAGCAAATGTGCAATGAATCTTGTTACAAATGTGTCACTAAGATGTTTAAGTGAAATTATCCCTATTCATACATGACATGATTCTATCCTTGTAGTGTTTTGAATGAGAAATGCCCTCCATAGGCCCCTGCATTTGAACACTTGGTCTCAGTTTGTGGTGCCATTTGGGGAGGTTATGGAATGTTTAGGAGACAGAGACTTGCTGGAGGAAGGATGTCACTGGGGGTGGGATTTGAGAATTCAAAGTCTCACCCCACTTCCTGTTGCTCTCTATTTTGTGTGTGCATTTCCTCCAGCTACCATGACCTCCCTGTCATTATGAACATTCTAGCCCTATGGAACCATAAATGAAAATAAACTCTTGGATAAGTTGCCTTTGGTCATGATGTTTTATCAAAGTAACAGAAAAGTAATACAGTATTTAAAAGACCCAATAGACTCTACCAGAAAACTCTTATTTTTTAACACTTTCAGTAAAGTTTCAGGATACAGAAATTAGTAGCTTTCATATAAACCAATAATGAGCCTGCTGAGAAAGCAATTAGAAAAAAGAAGCCTTCACAACAGCTTCCCCACAACAAAGTACCTAGAAAAAACTCTACCGAAGACATGAAAGATATACACAGCAAAAACTTTAAGACACTAAGAAAAGAAATGAAAGAAGATAGAGATATCCCATGTTCCTGTGTTGGCAGAATTAATATTGTGAAAATTGTCATATTACCAAAAGTCATTAACAGATTCAATGGAATTCTCACCAAAATTACAGTGAGATTCTCACAGGACTGGAAAACACAATTCCAAAATCCATATGGAAACACAAAAGACCACACACAGGCAATATAATTGTAAGCAGAAAGAACACAGCTAGAGATACCACAGTACCTGACCTCAAATCACAGACAACAGTGACAAAGGCAGAATGGTGCAGGCACAAACCGACATAGAGACCAATGGACTAGGATAGAGAACTCAGAAAGCCAAACCTTATTTTTGACGAAGGCATCAAGAACATACACTGGGAAAAAGACACAAAGAGTGCTGGAAAATTGGCTCTCCAGACGCAGAAGAGTAAACTTAGGCCCAAATCTCTCACTTGCATAAAAACCAATTGAAAGTAGATGAAAGACCTGAATTAAAAACCCAAAATGGTGAACCTGCTAGAGTGAAACACTTGAAATTGTAGATTTAGGTGAGAACTTTCTGAACAAGGCTTCACCTGCAGGAATCAGCAAATGGGACTATAAGAAATTAAAAACTTTCTGCACAGAGGGAAGCTGTTAGTGGAGTGAAGGCCAGCCAAAAAATGATGGAAAATCTTTCCAGCTATACCTCAGATGGTAGGGTGATACCTAGAATTTATAAAGAATTAGGAAAAACTAGCATCAAAACACAAAACTGCCAATCAGTAAGTGGACTAATGAAAGGAACCATTCTAAAAGAGGAAATACAGCAGGCTCATAAATATCTTTAAAAGTGTTCAATGTCTTTAGTCATCA